TCAATGTTTTTTTTTTTTAAATTATTAATGCTGATATATATATATATATATATATATATATACACTATTCGCCGTGTCCGTGTCCTAATTTTTTTGGATTTGCCGTGTCGCCGTGTCCGTGTCGTGTCGTATCCGTGTCCCGTATCCGTGTCCGTGCTTCTTAGCATATTTGCTATTTATTTGCCCTTTAATTTATCATTCTCTGATATGTCATGCAATGACAAGTATTTCCCCTTCATAGATGGAAATTTTTTTTTGAGATGACAAAGGGGGAGACAGATGTGTTATGTGTTACTATGTTATGTGTCTATTCTATTGCTTTTTAATATCTTGATAGATGCATATTGATAGGGGGAGACTTCTAAAAATGTCTGTGAAATTTAAATGTTTTCAAATTGTCCAAAATAACTATTGTAGAATCAAGCATGATATGATTTTCAAGATATGCTTATTGATAGGGGGAGCATTCTTTCAAATGCAACTCCACTTTGACAATAAACACATCAATGTTTTGTCATCATCAAAAAGGGGGAGATTGTTGGCCTAAGGATTTTATCTAAAGGTCAATCTTATGTTTTGATGATTACAAACCATTAATGATGTTTAATAACTAATATTTTCATTGAGTGATGTATAGATGATTAATATCCAATCCTCAATGATAAGCTAATAGATCAATTCAAGCATTTCAAGTACTCAAGCTATGGATTCAAAGAAGCTTCAAAGTTGCAAGAAATCAAAGAAAATCTCGGGCTTCAAATATCACTCAAGCATTTCAAAGGAAGAAATCAAGTCTTCATCAAGCCTAATCAATCATGTTCAAGAAATGAAGAAAAGGGTAGATAGGATTAGACTTAATGTTAAAGTTTATTTGAATATATTTTGAAGCTCAAGATTTTAGGTTCATGCATACTCATTCTAAATTCAGTTTTTAAAATACCTAAAATCTATTCCTGAACCTTATATATGCAAGCTACATATCAATAGGAAGTGCACAGGACTCGGTTAATTTTATTTTTAGTCTTGCACAATATTGGAGCCGGCTCCACTCAAGGTAGAGCCTGCTCTCTTCACTCCAGTAGCTCAAATTGGCTCGTAGAACAATTTTTTCTTGGAGAGAGCCGCCTCCCAAATATTGGAGCCTGCTCTACTAATATTGGAGCCTCCTCTACTCAATATTGGAGCCTCCTCCACTTTTACAAAGAGCCGGCTCCTTTGAGAGATCTGAAATTCCAACGGCAATTTCTGCATTTAATTCCTCCAACCACTTCTAACAGACATATTAAGTTACGGATTTCTTTAAATACAGAGGGCTTCTCTGCTGAACTTGTGACACCACTTGAAAGAACATTCAACAAGAGCATTCAAGAGCATTCAATAGCCATAAATTCTTTCTCTGAGCTTTCATTCATCTATCTCTACATTCTCTCATCCTAGAACTTGAGCTTCATTAATATTCTTATTAACTCTAGTTGTGAGCTTACATTTGTACATCTATTGAGAGAGATTCAATCTCGCTAAATCGCCGAGTCATAGTTTGCAATCTCTCATCTCTATCTCTCTTATACTTGTGCCATATACTGCTTGAATGTTTCAATTCCTCTGTGCTTAACAGTTTGTTAGATTTAATATTTTATAAATTGCAAAAATTGGCCATTGACTCTATTCCCCCCCTCTCTAGAGTCAATTAGTGACTAATAGATAACATCATAAAAAATTAATTAAAATCAATCATATCATACATCAATTATTCATCATCTAATATGAAAAATTAATTGGGGTTCATTGATCTTTTGATCATAACTACGGATGGACTAATTGAATTTAGTAACGGTTGGGAACTAAACAAGTGAATGTAAGTTAAATTAGGTGATCTCCCATAAAGTGATGTTGTATTATTGGCATAATTGGTGGAATATATAATGATGAGGAGGTTGAATCAAATTGGTGGACATGGGGAGTACAAAGGGTGGAAGTGGTATTGCTGAAATGATGGATAAAAGGGGCTTGGAAGGTGGTGGATCTCATTCATTGTTGAATCAGATGGGGGGTTGGAGTTTGGGTCAATGGTGCTAGTATTTATGGTTTGCAGTGGAGGATGACATGTGGCTATGTGCCACAGGTAGGGCTGTAAATGAACCAAGCTTTCGAGGATCAGCTCGAGCTCAACTCGATAAGAGCTCGGTTCATATTCGCTTATTTAATAAATGAGCCGAGCTCAAACACAATTTTCAATCTCAATTAATAAATGAGCCGAACTAAACAACCCCCTGCTCAGCTCGTTTATTCGAAAACATGTTCATGAACAAAGATTGTGAATGTGTTCGCGAACATATGTACATACAAATATATATTTGAAAGTGAGAATTCATTTAGTTTATGTCCATGTATATACAAGGCCCATTTAAAGTAAAATATTAAGTTTAGTTCTTAGCCCAACTAAGGCCCATAAAGAAAAGAAACCCATGAGCACACATGTATGTATAAACCCTAACCTAATAAAATCTCATCTTCTGTAATTCTTCTTTTCCTCTTTCAGATCGCCGTTGCAGCGTTTATCTCTCACGCGCGCACCTACCATTGTTGTTTCTCTCACACACTTCTACCATCGTCTCTCTCTCACATTCTCTTATGTTCTCCTTCGTAATCAAGATTCAAGGGTCAAAAGGAGATGGAAAGGTGAGATTGGCTTATATATAATTTTTCTGGGAAATCACTGTAATATATTTCGTTTTTTCCTGAATGCATTAGTGTAATGAGTGTGTGTGTGTGTGTGTGTGTTGTTGTCTGATCTATTTCTCTGTAAACTTGTAATATACATACATGTATATGTATTTATATATGATGTGTGATGTGTTAACGAGCTTTAAGCTCAGCTCAAATTTGTGGTGAGCAATTCTAAGCCAAGCTCAAACACATATGTGAGAGCTCAGCTCGAGCTCCAGCCGAGTTCAAACACCCTGCTTCACAGCCTAGCCGAGCTCGAATATCCCATTAATCAGCTCAGCTTGGTTACAGCCCTAGTCATAGGAGTCTTGTCCCACATCAGATCAGGTTGGGAGGATTTGGGGCTTATAAGGGCGAGTAGGCAGCACCACCTAACAGCTCAAACTATTGGTTGGGTGACAAGCACCCGGCTCTTTACAAGTGGTATCAAAGCAAACCTAGTCAGTGTTATTAAAGGCGCGCCTAGGCTCGAGGCTCAGGTTTAGCGCCTGTTGTCATCCCAGGCTCACTGATTTTTACTAGGCGCGCATCTTGGTTGCACCTCGTCCTGTTTGTGAGGTGTGCCTAGGCGCGCCTCACTGATATTTGTTTAAAAAAATACGATTGTTCTATTTCTTAAGCCAAAAAGGGTACTTTTGGCAACTTAATAAACAAAAAAGAAAGCTCAATCATACGATATAAGGAACTTTTGTTCAAAAGAATAAAAAAATAAGAAAGCCCTAGTTGCAAAGAGTCAAAGTGTTAACCGAACAACGACAGAATGAGATTGTGAGACGAAGACGAAGACCTAGTTGCAAAGATGAACGACGAAGCCACGTCATTTCTTTCTTTTCTTTTCTTTTTCTCTCTTCTCCTCTAGATTTCTCCTCTCTTCTTATCTTTGTTTACATCTCTCTCTTCGTCTAGTTCTCTCATCTCTCTGTCTTCTTTTTTTTTTTGCTATGTTTTTTCTTTTCTTTTTTTCTTGTTAACAATTTTTTTTTTTTTTTTTTTTTTTTTTGGTTAACATATTTATTTCTTTTTGTGCTTTGTTTTGCCATTCAAAAAACACATTTTGCTTTGCCTTTCAAGAAAACAAATTTGTACTCTGTTTTATGGTTGTTGGATGCTTGTACAGTTGATGGATTTACTTTTTTATATTTGATATTAATTTTTTGAATATTGATATAACTTATGAGATATGAATGTTATTATGGTAGTTTAAAGTTTCAATTGTGCGCCTCACTTCACTCAGGCGCGCGTCTCCCGCCTAAGCTCCAAAGGACCTCTAGCGCCTTGGTGCGCCTTGGGCCTTTAATAACTATGAACCTAGTCCCTTATCCGATGTCATGCCAAGCACCCACACACCCACACGAAGGAGTCCAAGTCATTACTGGGTCCCCTCACCATTAGGGTGGACGGGTAGGTAGGGTGATCTGATCACAACAAAGGTGGGGGAGAATGTGATAGGCGTCTTGTCCCACATCAGATCGGGTTATGGAGGGATTTAGGCTTATAATGGCAGTTAGGCAGCACCACCTAACTTAAGCTCTAATGTCGGCGGCAAGTACCAGGCCCATTACCCTATGGTAGTTGTTGGTGGTTAGACACACTCACAGAACTTGGTATGGTGATAGTTATGAGAGGGTTGCTCGAAATGGTTGTTGTTTGTTGTTGTGGTGATCAATGTAGGATAAATGACTGGAACGGATGGAGCTCCTGCAGCCCTTGTGATTGAATTTCCCTCTTTATTAATGACTAAAATCACAAATGAGAATCTAAAGCACAAAGTTTAGGAGAGGTGGGGGGTCCTAGTTTTGTACTTATATAGTATTGAGGGATTTTGACTTCTCATTTTTTTTTTTTCTAGTGACAAGGGTAAAATGGCCAGTTTTAAAGTTGTTGAGCTGACATCAGCTTTGTTTAATCAACTAAAGGTAGACTGAAGGAAGTGGAATTTGTCACCTAAGATTATAAAGTAGGAGAGTTCAAATTTACCTATCAAAAAATATATATATATATAAAAAATAAAAAATAAAAATAAAATAAAAATAAAAAAGAGAAAAAGAAAAAGAAAGAGTCAAAGTAAAGGAGGTCTACCCGTAATTAGGCTAAAATAAGGGGGGTAGGGTAATATATCCTAAATAGTAAGTATTTTTTAGGATTAGAAGGGGACAAGCTCTGTTTGGAAGAAGGTTCACATAATTCCATACATAAGATGATGCTTTATTTACAATTTGAAATAATAATTAAATGAAAATTTAGGTTCCATTAAGATTTTGAAAAAAGGATACCACTTGTTGGAGCTTTTTCCTGGATACTGGTGAAGACTCTTCCTGCCAAACAAAAATAAATGTTTTACGACTTCACCCCCAAAGATATAAAACTGTGCATTGCACTGATGCAATAAATGATGTGAACTCACCAATGGAAGCTCCGAAATTCATTAAGTAGGTTAAAAAGCTGAGCTGCCCTGTACTTTTGTTCTGCTCAAATAATAGCAAGTAATTTTTACCATAAGAATAGTAACTCATTTAAATGCAGAAACGTTTTTGAAATAATTCTGAAGGTGATTACATTATATCTTATTGGGAACAAGCAAACATTAAAATAGATATTACAGAATTTTGGCCACCTAAGAATAACAAAATTGCAAAAAAGCTGTGGCAGAAATGCAAATCTATGAGATGGTTGAAGTAGCACTGATTGGAGATAAAAATCAGAGAAAACTCAGAAAACTAATTAAGATGGTTTGGCCGAGTCACCAAAGGTGGAGCTCTATTGAGTCTAAGGGGGGGTCATCCGCCCACCACAAAACAATTTTTTTGTAATACACAGATAATGTCAAAATTATCCAGCCTACCCTTGCCAACGTCCCACCATAGCAAGACCTACTACACTCTGGATAATGGTCTAATAGTTTATACTGATAACATGAGAACTCGAGTGCCCACTTGTGGCATGTCAATGATGTCATGAAAATGATAAGGACACTTCATTAGGAACAGGTAACAGAAACTGTTAATATAATAAAACTGCATACTGTGAACCATGAATTAAAAGATTGACTAGTGGGAAAAAATTATGAATTATAGAAGGAAAAAAAATATTGAGGAGCTTTCTGGACATCTCCTTGAATAAATAGTCCCATTCACTTTTCCACATATTCTTTTAATATTCTTGATTCAAGCCACTTAGAAAATAAAATTGTTAACTTGTCAACTTTATCATTCCAAGAAAACCTTAAATGATAATAAACAAAGAAATAAGGTGAAGTCCTCATTTCTCTTGGTATCTCCTCATTAAATATGATCAAAATCAAATGCTATATAAAAGGTGAATGGATCTATTCACATGATATCCGCAATTATTTGAGACATTCTAGCATAGATTTCAACCTAATGAGTTCATAATGTGTGACACATACATTAGTGTCATGACAACAAAGAGAATAAGTGGGTTCATTTAATGGATGGCAAACAATCACAAAGTAGATATGTAGAATAAATATTATTTTTTAACTAAATAATCAAAAGATTAAAAAATAATATATCTTAATAGAAAATGCCCGGATAAAGTTGTCATATTGCTTCATCAACAGCTGATCCCAAATATTTGATATTATCTTGAATAAATTGTTATTTAATTATGATATCATTTATAAATAAATTGACACTACGTCGGCGCTAACTCAAGTGGTATCCGGTTGGACTTTCAACCTTAATATCAGAGGTCAACTGCTCTTGTTGCGTAGTAAAAAAAAAAAAAAAATACTAAACAAAAAATATAACAAGTAGATTGACAGGCTAGGTCAGGGTAATTTGATGGAAGTGATTAACCTAAATAATTTAACAAAATCTGATACCACTAAATATGAACAGATGCGCAGATATGATCCATATTGGAGTCACCAATGCTTTCACTTCAACTCTCTAACGTCATATCACCAGCATTGTGCATTAAGTATTAATTGAACCCTAACACAACTAAAAATAAGACATCAATGATGCATGCTGTGATGAGATCCCTTGAGCCTGAATCATTATATTTTTCATTTTAGGTGTCATGTCAAATCTTACCTACTTGGCGAGTTGAGTTCTTTTGAATTTCACCCAGGAAAAATTAACGAACATTCAAAGAAGTTCAAGTTCAGCACAGGAAAATGATGCGTATCAATCATTTGAGTTTGCCTCTACAAAGATACCTTATGGCGGAGGGCCATAGCCTCTGAAAGTCTTGATTTTTCCATTCTGTCACCATATGATTTCATATCACTTTCACAAAGATCCTTCCAAAATATTTAGGGTCCCCTCTCCATCCCCATAACAAAACAACTCGGATCCACAACTGCAGAGTGTAGAGACGATCACTTGGCCTGACTAGAACAAGGGATATAAAGACGGTGAGGTTGGTGTGCTTAATATTAGAAATTTCTATGGTGGAATATTTGAGCCTCTAGTACAGGCCTGAAAAGAAAATTCAAGGAATAACGACCGATGAACATTGGGTCCAGAATCTCAGAAATCAAGAGCCATTAAGCGGAAAAGAGGAAGGGCAAGATATGATAAATTGACAGGACAGACAGACAGGTGTTTCTAATTTCTAAAATCCCCAAGTAAATGGGGATACCACAATGGAGCGTTGTAGTGCATGCCACAGGGCTTCCATCCTACATAATACAAAAGATGGTACTTTTTGTTCGAGTGAACTTAGCTGCATAAGCTGAAAAGTAAACTGTTTTGAGACCTTAAATGGAATAAAGTCTTCTTCTTCCTTCCATCCAGAAGAAACAACAGGGGGTGGGGAAGAAAAGGGAAACCATCAAGTGTAAACTTACATTATAATTCTGCCAAATTTGTGGGACCTTGGCAAAGAAGAAAATTGCATGCTGAGATGCCTGAAATAAATTTATTTCCCCACAATGAAAAATGTCAGAGTCAGATGTGCTGGAAATTCTTACTTAGCTGAAGAAATTAATTGCTGGAGAATTAGAACAGACAAGAAAATTTAAATGATTTGTTGATGAGAATCATATCTGCATATAATTAATGAGAACAAGAGAAGTAGGGGAGACGAGTAAGAACTGAGAGGAAACTATCAAAAATGTTGTTACTGTCTGAAATAGGATATTTAGTTATTTACTCACATATAAAGCTTCAAAGAGAATGGGATCAATTTGGCCTGCTAAGATGGTGGGTGCCACCGCACAGTATCTGCAACAAATTAGTAAGGAAACACAGACTATATTGTTGTTCTACCATAGAGTAATCAAATAATCAAAGGACAGCAGGTTATCAGTGTATATTAGGTTTTCAAAATAATGCAAATAAAGATCAGTTTCAGCAAGTAGGATACAGCAATGCCTTAATCCATGTCTTGGTTCCCACATGTTGAGAAAAATAGTAGATAATTGTAACCAATATTATAGCTGTAAGAGACGAGGAAAAGAAGTATATTAGATCCCTCGAGATTGCCATATAAAAAATAATAATAAATAAATAAATAACCAGAAATACAATTTAATATCATTTTTTTATAAGTAAAATACAATTTAATATCATGAAGAGAGGATTTGCAATACTAAGACAGTTACTATCTCTTTTTCTTCATAAATCTAGGTTGTCGCATTTAAAACTGGTGATGTTTCAGGGCTTCATGTTAATGCAAATAAACTCAGACAATACATATTATTGTATATTACAGACATAAAAAGGCCTTTACTAAGTGATTGGGTCATCCAAATAAACCAAATGTATGTATAATAAACGACCTTTGAAGAAGACTTAATGAATTTCACTTAACACCCCTGTACTGTCATTTTTGTGGCGCATTACTTCCCTAAACTATGATTTTGGCAGATAACTCTCTTGCTCTATAAAATAAATGCACCTTATCCACTTACTGTTAGTTGTCGGTTAAATAAGGAGGTAAAATGACTTTATTGCCCATTTTTAAGAAAATGATGTTATCGAATAGATAGCATATCAATTGCAAAATTATAAAGTTGCCTAAATTGTTTCAGTGTCATACGACCATACCATATTTGTTTGGAAGGATGCAACTTTATAATTGTACAAAAAAATTGATATATTTCATATTCGATAACATATTTTTCTTAAAATGGGTAATAAAGTCATTTTACCACCTTATTTAGTGGACAACTAATCGCAAGGGCGTAAAGTGCAAATTATTACCCTCAAAACATTAGTATAGGGGGTAAGTGGAGTTAAGCCAAGAAAGGGATCAAATTTCAGTCATCTGAATTCAAGTGGTCAGGTTCAATACAGCTTCTCACAATTTCTGTTTATTGTACATTCCATAACCAACCCCAGATGAAAATAATCATCCAATTTATAACTTGAGTCCTACACTGTCCCTCCCAATTTCCAGCGCACCCCCCCCCCCCCCCCCCCCCCCCCCCGGGGTCCCGTTTTCCAGTGTTATTCTTTCTAGACCACCAATTAGATAAATAGCAAACAACACAATTACCCAATTTATCACGTTTGATTTCTGACAGTCTCCTTCCATCTCTGTTTTTTTTATTCATGCTAAGAAAGGTTTTTGCACTGACATTGGAACAAAAGACAAGACCTTCAACTTACAATCCATTTTAGAAGAACCACCGACATGAAGTAAGATGTAAGTCACTCATCTAATGTGGCACCCATTTGAAATGGATGGCAAGTAATTGCTCAATAAACAACTAGTAAAAAAAAGAATTGCAGAGAAGGCTTGGCTCACATTACAGACATTACCACGTGCATTTTCCATCGATATGGTACATCATTACCAGTAATCAAATATGAGAAGGTGCTACAGACAAGACCTTGGATCAATAGAAATACCAACTCCCCGTAGGCTGAAAATGGTAGCCCTTTGTGAAGACAATATGCCAATGCAATAGTATAACCAACTACTTCAAGTTCGAAGCCCACAACACTAAGCCCTTTGACACTTCTGTGTTTTAAAATTTTTAATATCTGCAAGTGAAGAGCAAATCCATCAAATTAGAGATGCTACTGAAGATGCAAATCACAAATTCAAGCAAACATTCACCATGTCCCAGGTGCAAGAAGCACATTCCTGTGAGATAATCAACAGCAAGGAAATAATAAGGGAACTAACCTTAAACTTTGTTAAAGGTATGGTCACCATTTCCGCAATTTAAACCATTCAGTCATGCTTTGTATCCAATCGCATATAAAAGTGAGGCAGGCCTTTATTGAGTAATATTAAGTACAAGAGAATGCGGAAATCCACAACCTTCTATTCAAGAAGAGATGATTAAGACTCAGAAGTTAATGTTTTAAAGAAAAATACACCCTCATATGACCTAATTTACAAGGGACTTTTTAAAAATAACATTGTCAGGGGCAAGACACTCAAATTTAAGTATGGGATATGTGCTCGACATGGATGGCTAAACAAGCACTAAACAAACGTATCCAATAAATACAAATTTATTCCATAATTATACATTAAAAAACTTCTTTTATGTTCCTTTTACTTCAAAAAGAGTGAAATAAAAGTTGTGTTGAGGATTTCCTGTGTCCTTGGGGTTTGAAGATTAGAAAAGTCTGATGCTTAGACACATGTTGATATCACACGCATACCCCTGCAATATTCTCATCTGTATAATATGTGAGTTACGCTATGCGAAAAGGTTGTGAAAGTTTTACTTCAAAACAATAACCAACAGGGGGTGAATATGTAAAACTTGCTCCTTTATCTGATTTTCAAATTATTTGATTATTTTGACACAAAGCAAAAATAAAGTGCGATAAAGTAAGAGATTGAAACCAGAAAATTTTAGCGTGGAAACCCGAAGAAAAAAAACCACGGATACTTAGTCTTCTCGAGCGAAATAATCTATTATCTCGAAGCAAAGTACAACAAACTCTGTCTCAGGCTCGCAACCAATCCAATCTGCCAAGAACTAGTTGCAAAACGCCTCACACTTACTCTTGTGACTCCTCGTCCAATTGCAGTAGACTTCAGGCCTACTCCTCAATCCTTGCAGAAGAGTTGCTCGAGAACTTGAATGCTCCACGAGCACTCTATCCCCTTCGTAGTACGATTGATCCGCCTTCCTCACGAACACAAAGTTGAAAGGAGAAAAATAAATCCGGCTTTAAGGACTAGGTTGAAAAATAGGTTAAAAACGATTAAGGACGTCTCTAAAAGTTGGACCAAAAAGGAAGTTTAAAATAACAAAAACAGCAATGTCCTTTGTGGATCTGAACAAGTGCGACCGGTCGGACATCACAGAACTTTTCAACTTGGACAAGTTGGAACAGTCACCAAAAGAGCGACCAGAGGGACTTTTCAGAATTTGAAATTCAATTTGAAAACCCTAGTTTTCAATCCCATCCAAACTCAAACACTTGTGCAAGGTGTCCTCACTCAACATACCTGTTCTACATGGTGTTCTCATCGAATCAAGGTACCCATGCACTTGTTGCTCAACTTCCGAAATCGAGACTCAAGATAGAAACAAAATTACAACTCAATCGGACACGTTTTGATACCGAAATTAGCCAACAAAAAATAAGTTCCTCACATAATAGACAAAATAATTGATGACAATTTCTTTTGCTTCCCTCTCTCTCTCTCTCTCTCTCTCTCTCTCATTGAGGAAGAGGAGAACTGCCCTAATTCTTTTTCTTTAAGTTTTCATTTGAAGAATAGATCTTTTTATATATGTAATATAAATTTATTGACAGAAGCAATGTGTACGAGACATACCTCCCAAGCAAGAATACAAACAACATGAGCCAGCTAAACAAAACGATGCCAAACCAAACTACCCAAGCACACTAACAAAACACATACCTGGGCATTATACAGTGGCCTAGTTGGTATAGCACTAGCTACCCGAGTGAGTGTGCCCGTATTCAAGTCCACTAATTTGAAGATTCTTTTCAATTGTACTGATTGCCATATCTTTTGAATTTAATACAATACCTGCTAATGAAAAAAAAAAAAAAAAACACACATAACTAACAAATAGATCCCCACCCAACTTACCCAATAAGAGAAACCAACCAAAAGTATACCCAATGTTACAAAAAAAACAAAAACAAAAAAAACCTAGGACTCAAAAAGAACAACAAACACAATAACAAGGCAGAAAGAGGAGCTGCCAAAACGAAGCCTTCTCACAACAGAATTCACCAGCTTAAAATCATGCTGCAAGGAAAGCTAGATGTAAGCAGAATCCCATGCAGGAGAATAATACTAGATTCAAAGAACCATTGGAATATCAGAGGCCATCTTTCTGAACTTGCCAAGAATGACAAAGCCAGAGATTAATTGCAGAAGGTGTAACACATTGCAGGCCAAGTAATTTAAACCTCACATAGTTGAAGATTTGCAACTGCAAAGATCTCAAATCCTTACACTTGTCATACTACAATCTAGAATTCCTCTCCAGCCAAATATAGTACACAGTAGCAAATAAGGCTAGTTTACTGACCATGCTTGCAAAATTAGACACTTTCAGATTAGAGCTGACCCCAAGACACAATAGCACTTAGACCAAGATCCAGCTAATTTTCCAACAATAAAGGACCGTGTCTGATTTAAAAAATAAAAAATAAATAAATAGAAAAAAAAAAAAAAAAAATGCCAATGATCTTCACAATCAGCTCTGCAGTACACATCAAACTGATCTAAGTAATCCCAAAGATTGCAACATGCCCTCAGTACACAATCTCCCTCTAACAGCCAACCACAAAAAGAAGAAAATTTTTGGCGCACTCTTTAAAATATACAGAAGATGCCCAAGTTTCTGTAGGCTTAGAAGGTCTGATTTCATGATAATGGACTGAAAAGCAAACTTATCACAGACTCCTTTCCACGTGACTTTGTCAACAGTATATACATCTGGACAGCATTCTAGCTTCCTGCTGCAAGTCCACCAAGGTTTCAGAATCAACAGAGGGCCAATTTCAACTTCCATTTATACAGCAAATTTGGCTGCAATTCCTAAACCACTGTCATGAATAATTCTTTCACCCCTTGATGCCACAATAGGACCACTGGAAAGCCACAAATCAAACTAGAAATTAGTTTGCAGCCATTACTTAGTTTATATCTGACATGAGGTAAGCTTCTAAGTTTCAAAATTCTCCTCCATACCCAAGAGTAGTCGCATGGAATCTTGAGGTGAAAATATTACTTTGCTTAATCAAATAAGTCAAACTCTTTGTCCATAAAACCCAAAGAGAATCTGAGCAAGGCTGTATGTCCAAAGATGCTTTAGCACAGCAGCCTTATTCTAGATCTAGGCCAGTAAATGTTTTACACCTAGTCCACCTTCCACTTTACGCATATGACCTTCTTCCCAAGCCACTTTACAACCACCTTGTACCGGATTTCGCCTTTCCATAAGAATTGCATCAAGATCTAGTTAATGTTATCAGTAACCCTCTACGGAAGAATGAATAAAGAGGACCAATAGACCTGAATGGAACAAAGGACTGAATTTGTCAATTGAACATCCTGCAAAAATAAGGACTTTATTTATTTAAGAGTGAACTTTCTTAGTCAGTCTTTCAATAAACATCTTACTTGTACTAGCCTTAGGATAGAAGAATTTAAGAGTACACCAAGGTATTACAGGGAGTTTAGCCTCAACAAACTTTAGACAACTTAAGATTTGAGCCTTGACATCCTCAGTAACTATTGAAAAAATATCATTCTCTTATCTGCATTTTGAATTAGGCCTGAATTTCCCCAAAACTCTTTGAATAATCAGTATAGATTCCGTTCTTCCAGCTGACAGAACTAACAAGTCGTCTGCAAAATTCAAGTGAGTAATCTTCATCTTACTGCATCTCCAGCGATAATTGAATTTCGCTCATTCAGTTTTCCTTTTCATTAAACAATATAGCACGTCCATTGCAAGGACAAACAAATAAGGTGACATAGGGTCACCTTGCCTTAAGCCCCTTTTGCTTGCCAAATAACCATTGAACTCCCCATCATTTATGACAACTGAAAACATAGCAGATAACAAGCAAACAATAATCCAGCTAATGACCTCTTGTGGAAAACCCATTACTGAGAGAGTTTTTAAGATAAACTGCCAGCCTATTGTAGCATATGCTTTATTAATGTCCTTTTTTCCCCCTTCATAAACCCATGTTAGCAGCTCAGGCTTAAGAATATCCAAATTTTTAAGTAATTAGGGGTGCTGGTCACTAATGGATAATGCAATTATTCCTTGACAAGCTGATTCTAATCCTAGAACCTTTAAATAACTCAAATCACATGAATTGCAGATACTAATTTATTTAAATCCAAACTTTGTGAAAGACAGTAATGGGTTACACCAAAACTCATGCATTTGCACTGAAAGAAGAGATTTAATGTAGTAATCCTAAAGTAGGGAAAAACACAAGCATATACAAGCCTAAATCAAGATGGTTCAAACCCTTTGATCTAACATGTGTTGGTTTCTAAAATCATACAGATTCACAGAACAAGCTAAAACCACATGGATCAAGAATTGCGATCGTCAATGCGTGCACTAATATTGAAATTCAATAATAACAACAATCATAATAAGAACTACAGAATTTGAAGATGAATGTTGAGGGCATAGGGATGACAAAAAAAAATACCTGAGGGAATTTGACGGTGGTGGAAGCGGCGACGATACAATAGCCAAGGAGCTTGGATACAAAAGGAAGCAGACAATCTTTGTCCGGAAACTTGCCGTTGCTGAGAGCTCCGAACACACAGCTGAAGTTCATCCCAAGAAACTTCATTATAATTACTTCCAAGTTCGAAGCCCTCCGACACTTTTGTGCTTCAAAACTTGTAATATCTACAAATGAAGAACAAATCCATCAAATTAGAGATGCTATTGAAGACGCAAATCATTAGTTCAAGCAAGCATTCACCTTTCTCTCAATATATTGTTAAAGGTATTGTCAGCATTTCCGGAATTTAAACCACTCCAGTCATGCTTTGTATCCAATTGCTTCTCAAAGTGAGGCCGGCCTTTATGAGTTGTTTAACTTGTTTCAAGTACGATCATCAATAGCATATAAATAATAAAAGTGGCTGACCTTTTTATTTTTTTTTTTTTTTTTTTTTAGGAGAATTTAACTTTTTTTAAGTGATAACTTTTAGTGTTTCACTGTTTCTTTTATTAGTATATTGGTATTGAATGAATTGTGCTTTATTTTTTATAAATTTCTAATAAAGTTAAATTAATAATGTTATAAATAAATAAATAAAAATTGCATTAACTTTTTAATTAAGATAAAAACAAAAATGTCAACATTTGTTTTGGTAAGAATGTGTTCAAAAGGTTGAAAAACCTTATAAACTATTATAATATTGAATATGTCCCGTCCAAAACCCTTCCATCAAAATTCCACTCACAAGCTCAGGGATTTGTTAGCCAATTCTTCACTAATGTTGAGCTGTCAATACGGGACAAAATAGATGACATCATATATATATGACATGATCTTAAGGTTAAAAATTCAAAAAAAAATGGTTGGAAATTCAAAATTGGCATAAAATGTGAATACTTGAAAAAGATGGGCAATTTTGTAAATTGTCAAAATAGGGTCAGTACTCAGTACGGGGTACTTTTTTTTTTTTTTTTTTTTTTTTTTAACCCAACAAACATTTTATAAAAACATAAAAACAAGAGTCAAGGTAGTGGGCCAGACCACATACAAACTTATCAAAAGTACCACTAAGCATACCTCATAACATTACATGAAAAGACAATCATTTAAATTGGTGCACTGACCAAGTAGACTGCCAAAGCCAGAAAAGGCAGAGAACTAGGCCCACATGAACTAATAACAGTCCTAAAAGCATAGCTTGTCCTTCACGCACAAGTGACCAATTTCTAATTGCCTTTGAAAAGTGTACAGTATTTCTCTTTGATAGAAAACAGGAACTGATCGCCGGAACCCAAGATGACAATGACATGTTCGCCGGCGATACCTGAGCAGCGTTAACACCGATGGCCATAACAAACCGCCACCAATCCCAGAGAGCATCAAAAATTCCATGAACCAAATGCTTGCCCATCGTTGAAAGGTTTCTTAGAACACCCATCCGTAGTTCAAACTCCATGATTTGGTAAGGAGACACATCACTACCGAGCCGCAGATCCGTCATGGAAATCCATAGAGAGGTAACACTCAGTAAGGGGAATTTGAGCCCTCCTTTTTTTAGCACTTTTGGAGGATCATTTTGGGTCATTGATCATTTATTGTGCACAAAGAATTGCGAGATTACCACTCGATTCCTCTGAGTTAAATCTTCCCTAAGTTATTCTAAGTTGAATTCTTTTCAGATTGAGTGACATTTAAAATCTATCTACGGCTTGTATTAAAACACGTCAACTAATTTAAAGAAAGTTTGAAAACTGTACCGTTTTGAAATAAGAAAAATTTACCAAGTTTAAAAACGACACCGTTTTGAAATAAAAAAAAATTCAACATACTTTAATGACGTTAACGTCATTCTCTCTCCTCATCTTTTCCCACTCTCTCTCTCTCTACTCTTGCTTATTCCCAAAAATTGCACCGTTTTGAAATAAGAAAAATTCACCATACTTTAACTACGTTAACATCATTTTCTCTCCTTATCTTTTCCCATGCTCCGTCTCTCTCCTCTTGCTTATTCCCACTACTGGGGGAATATTTAAACCACTATAATGGATTTTGCAGTTTAAATTTAAAAAAAGAGAGGAATTTTGCTATTTAGAATTTATAAAAAAATAGTGAACCAGAGATATTTTGCAGTTTAAATTTCAAAAAAGAGAGGAATTTTGCAATTTAGATTTTAGAAAAAAAGAGTGAACCAGAGCTTCTAGGCGCCAAAAATTGTGGGAAAGAACATTCATTTTTTTGCGTGAAATATTTCCCTAATTGTGGGAATGAGCAAGAGAAGAGAGAGGTAGCGATCTTTTTGGAAAAAGATGAGGGAGAAGAACGACGTTAACATCGTTAAAGTATGGTGAATTTTTCTTATTTCAAACGGTGTAGTTTTCAAACTTTAGTAAATTTTTCTTATCTCAAAACGGTGCAGTTTTCAAACTTTCTTTAAATTAGTTGACGTGGTTTAATACAAGCAGTAGCTAAGTTTTAAATGTCACGTGTCAATTTACAGAGAATTCAATTTAGGATAACTTAAAGAAGATTTAACTTAGAGGATCCAAATCCCTCCTTTGTCTATAAAAACAAGCCATTTCCTCCACTTTGCATAATTATCAACCCTCCATAAATAGAAACTCTGTCTAAGAGCTCTCTCTCTCTCAAACTCTCTCTATACATATATACACACAAATCTTTATACATACACACACTTTTCACAGGCTACAACACACACACTGCACTATTTCTTCTCTTTTCTCTGGCTACACTTATAGAAAGGAGTCATTTGTCTTCTTAAGCTTGCAAATCCACACATGGTTTGAAGAAAAAGGAGAAAAACACACCAAATTAATAAGGCCTTCAAAGCCAAAAAAAAAGGTAAAAAAAAAGTTTTCTAAACTCATCTCTTTCATTTTATTTACTTCTTACTTTTCTTTGTTATCTTGCTACATATTTGTTCATGGTCCTCATCTTTATTGGGGTGGTTTATAAATGGTAGTGATCGATTTACAAAAGTTACAAAGTCTACAAGTTAAAACCGTAGAGATGTCTATACTTGTCTGTACAAGGTAGGTGAGTACAAGTGTAGTCAGTGGCGTAGTCAATAATTTCTTTATGTGGGGCAATTTTAATTAAATATACTAAAAAAAAAAATCATATACAATAAATCAAGAATAAGATATGAAAAAGAAAATAACACAGTTACTTAAATTTACCTGTTCTAATATATCACATATGTAAAAAAGATAAAAATAAAAATCCATGATAACCATTCCAAAAAATTCCATGGTTACAAATATTCTTAATAACTGTCAATTTACTCATAACAAAAATTCATTCAATTAAAAATCCAAAAAATAAAAATAAAAAACAAGATATGAAGATAACTAACTAATTTTATAAGTTATAACCAGATTGTAATACCCCTCGATTCTAGAGCCTAGGGTGATCAAGTCCGAGCACAGATCCGACGGATACCAAATAATTAATATGTAAGTGAACACGGAACACAAACATGAAATAAGAATAAAATAATAAGCTGAAAAAATTCTAAATTAAAAATCCTCAAAATAATATAATTGAAATCCAATAATCCAAAAGCCTCTATTAATAAACAACTCGGGAATCCATCCTAGTGGACCCTTAATAATATCCTAAACTAAAACTGAAACAACTGAAATAAAATCTAAAGCTAAACATGGAAAGCAGTCCCATGTAGTTAGAGGAGTGAGTGACTGTATCTGCTCTGCACGATCAAGCTCTAACTCTGAAACTGACGAACACTTGAAAAATAAGAGTAGGTCAGGCCCACATGCAAGTTCTATCCTACTACAATTCATACAGAAACCCGATACACAGATACATCCTAAATAGCTCAACAATAACTAGAATAATCCATATATGTATAAATACACACTATAGGACACTCACTAGCCCAATAGGTCTTTCTCAGCCTGAGTAGAAATACCATGCAAATCGCACATAACGTGGTCATGTGTACCTAGACCTACCAAAGAACAGCAACTATGTCCAGTTATCCATCCTAGGCGATATACGCACCCTAACCATGGTCCTAAGACTCAAGCTCATACCATGACACCATAACCATAAATATATAAAGTCCGTATAATCATAATACCAAATATCATCCATCTGACATAGTGGCCTGACATAGGTATAACAATCTAGCCAGAAACCAAAGTATGTCATTCAATTAATTATTGACCTGACACCAATATGAGTATAACTTAACATTTATGGTTAATCCATACCTCAATCCAGAATAGGTAGAACTTAGTGTTTGAACTAATCCATCCCTAGTATACCACCGTCCCATACCGGTGCATACAATCCTCCAAATATCATAATTGATAAAACAATAATAGGTATTCATCAACCATTCTCCAAGATATGCATAAATACAGTTTAATACATATATTATGACATTAGGCATTCATTATAAGACCTAAAAATCATGTTCCAATCCTTTCAATTGCCAAAATAAAGCTAAGCATTTAAATCCTCCAAACAGTCCATAAATTGATACAGTTTACGGCAAATTAAATATCAATTTAATCCAAACCAAGCATAATCAATTTTAGATAATCCACTATACTTATAACTCGTTGAAATATAAATAAACAGTGTCAAGTCATATACAAAAGAATCTCTAAGTTCCAGCAATTACTTACATCATTTAATGCAATTTAAACAGATTAAAAATACCATATACAGCCCAAACAAAACTTTAAAATAGGTAATACGTGTTTCTGGGCGAGAGCAGGCTCTCAAAAGTTGAAAGCCTGCTCCAAACACTTGGAAGCCGGCTCCCCACCCTTGGGAGCCGACTCTGAGGAGCTGGGAGCCGGCTCCCTCCATGTAGGAGCCGGCTCCCTCCATGTAGGAGCCGGCTCTTGCTTTGAGGGAGCTGGCTCCCTCCTTTTGGGAGCCTACTCTCTCTCTCCCTTAAGCCGTTGTCCGATTCTACTTCGTCTTCTTCGCCTCCGGCGATACCTAGAGCCTCTGCAATGTTTTTATTACTTGTTCTAGAGTTCAATCAATGTCCCAAATTATTTATAAGACATCGATATGCATTAACAATATCAATTAAACAAAGCTTACAATCCACGACAGCAGGATTCAGTTAGAAACTTTAAGAAAATCTCAAGCTAGTTTAATTCAACAAAATAAAATACCGATTAACAATGCATAAAAGATATGTTTTAGCATTAATTTAAACCCTGGAGTCTACCTAGGCATGCACAAAACACAGGTTTAAGGGAAGAAGTTAAAATAGAGACTTGTATTTAGGTTTCCGTTCAAAACCTTAAACCACCATCTTTGAGTTTTCCGACCACTTCCTAGACTGCCGTTCTACACCTCCGTTGCTCTTGGTTCAACCCAAAAGCAATCCGTCCCGTCCTCCTTGAACCCCTCTGTTAATCTCTCAAGTTTCACTCTCTGTTTCTCTCTACCTCTCAATACGTGAATAGGGTTTGTTTATAACCCTATACAGACTTATCACTGTATATTTATAGGCTAATATAAACCCTAGTCCATTTATAATTACAGGCGAAAAACCCTAATTAATTCCAGTCGGCCACCACGTGAATTATAAAAGAATAATAAAGCCTAAATTAAACATTAATAAAACCCTAATGTAATCCAATTAATGCATTTAAATAATTAAAACAATTACTTCAATGAAAGAAAATAATAATACAATTAATTCAATTAAAGAAAATAATAATACAATTAATTCAATTAAAATAAAATAAAAATACAATTAAATAACATAATTCATCAATTAATTCAAATAAACAGGCAAATAAACAATTAAACAAATAAAAATGCAATTAAATAATTGTTAAAATACCGAGACTATCCTTTTAAAATTAGGGGTATTACACAGATAATCCAATCAATCAAAAAATTTGATAGAGTAAGTGAATATGTGATTTCATTGATTCGGGCTGCAAAAAAATATATAAATATAAATAAAAAAATAAAAAAAAATCCTAAGTCCTATTTAGAGAATAATAATTAGTAACACAATTACACAAACTAAATTTTGAAAGAACAACAAGTCCTAAAATAATTTTGATAGTAATAACTAATATTTTTTCTAATTAAAATTATAATATCAAATAATAATCGTAAATTTAGATGATAAAAAAATATATATCAGATTACCTGTCTGTCGCACTGCAATACGACTGAGTCTCTATGTACTGGTAAATGGTTGCTCCGCTTCTTTAATTTGTTTGGATTATGAATTTGTGAAATGTTGAAGACTGAAAATGTGATGGAAACAATCCATTTGTTTGTGGTATCTTGATGAAATGTTTTGGTTTTTTTTTTAAAAAGTGGGAAAGAATATAATATTTTGGAAAAGTGGAAAAAAAATATCATATTTTGTGGAAAAGTGATAAATTGATAAATATATTATATATATTTACAATTATGTGCGCGCGCGCGTGTGTGTGCATTATCAAATTTTAGAGAGGGCAATTATACAAATATAAAAATCTTTTCATATAAAATTATAAAAAAAAAATTAAAATTTCAGTGGAGGTAATTGCCCCCACTTGTCCCTCTGTGACTACGTCACTGAGTGTAGTGGCCGATTCCCGAAAGCTACACGTCTACTATTACGGCGGAATGACATTCATGTCAAACCATCGTAATAACAATCATTCTACATGCAAAAGATGGTTCTCGTGAGATCTCAACGATCTTTCGGAAGCTAACCAAAGTGTTTTCTTTCATGGGATGCACCAGTAGCTTTTCTAACCATCACAGTTTTGCTTTTTACACTAAACACACTCAAAATCATCATTTCGGTCACTCCCTAACCTTTTCCTTCCAAAAACAAGTTTTCGGTCCGTTTCGACCATTTCCGACTTCAAATTTGGCTTTGTCTTTAAAATGGTCATTTTCATCATTTTCGACACTTTAAAACTCGTTTTTATCAAAACGGTCATTTTTGTTGTTTCGACACTTTAAAACTCGTTTTTACCAAAACAGTTATTTTTTTCATTTTCGACACCTTAAAACCCCATTTTTACCAAAATGGTCGTTTTCATCGTTTTTGGACACTTTAAAACCCGTTTTCACTAAAAGTGTCACTCTAAAAACCTTCTTTTATTTTTTGTTTTTTTTTTTTTTTATATCAAAATGGACATTTTCGTCACCTTTGACATCTTAGAACCCACTTTTAATGAAGTGGTCATTTCGCCTTCTTTTAAACCAAAAATACATTTTTTTATCAAAGCAGTCATTTTGGCCACATTTTTATCTTCAACCTTTCAATGTGTTTTCAGTATCACTTCTCTTCTCGAGTTATTACTCTAAATTTTGTTTCAGAAAATGAGTTATTATTACCCTGTTATTTCATTTGAAAGGTTCAGAATTAATTTTAAATTATGGTAGGCTAATTTGATACCAAATCTTCAATCCGTCGACAAACCGTAGACCTCTTTATCTTTGTCACTTCATTAATTTAAACTAATCTACAAAATCAGCAGCTTGTTAGACAATCATTCGTCTCAAAGTTAAGCTAGTCCCAAAATCAGTCTTGCAACGTTATAGCTGGTTAGACAAATGATGTTGTAACGGTTCTGCCGTAAGCAGTAAAAATTTTCTACATTTCAAATTATGTTTCAACACATTATTTTTATTAGTAAAATTTAAATTAAATGTGTTGAAACATGATTTCAACGTTTTTAAAATTCCTACAACAACAAAAATTCTCTAGACCAGAGGATTGAGACCACGTGTTGCTCCCTTGTTTGTCCACATCATTGTCCATTGCCATGTCAATTTTGTGTGCAAACAATAAACCACTACCATCTTTATAGACAGAAGGTTCGATTCTGACATGCTTGAGCATGCATTCCCTAACCAAGCAGAGCTGTTGAAACATGTCTCCAAAGTCCTAACTAGCATCACTCATTAAACCATCTGATACTGTTTACATATATATATACACATACACACACACACACACACACGCACAGAAATAAATGTAAATATGTTTGCTTCACTAAGAACATACTGCTAAAATAGTAAACCACTTTTGTACAAGTCATAGTCTGAAAAGCTTAAAAACACAAAACACTGTATTTGTTCTCTGTCCACCCATACCTGGGCTTGATTGTCCCAATGGGCATGTGTTGTGCATGTTTACCCTCCTGATTCCTCTGAGAGAGAGAGAGAACCATTCTTGAAAATCCATAGCCACACATTTTGCACACTTCCACATTACAGTCAATTCAGTGAGTACAATCTGTGCTGCTGACTATCTAGGTTGAGAAAGAACTAAATTTCTATATGGCATTGGAGAATATTTGTTGGATTTTTACAAAAAGCTAAATCCTTAATACCTTAATGTGATTACAGATTACCACAATTTGAAGCTACAGAAAAACAAAACAGAAACAACAATAATTTGGAGATCTACTGAGACGTGGGGTCAGCATTTTTTCTTACAAATAACTTGCTTATATCTTCCGTGACGACATTGCTCCTGCCAAAACCCAGTTCAGAAGAGTCAGAAATCATATTATCTTCTCTTCAAATGTAACTGAAGCAGCAAGTATTTCTAAACCCTAATGTAGTGAATACTCTAATATTAAGCACTAAATGCAAAATTTATGAGCCTACAAACTCCCAGAAGCAAACAATGGGCATCAAGAACTTCCTGTGCAGTGTCCACATGAAATTTTCAGGTTTGAAACCCATTTGGTAGATAACAATGACATTCAATTATCACAAGATCCTGAGGACAATCTTCAATATTAATCTTCACATAGAAAGTGATACCAATGGAAGCCGACATTATCCAATCTAAGCTTACTCTGCTAACATGTCATTTTTACAACAGAGTTATACTGCCACATAGGGAACAGTTGCCATCAAAGTGACCAGATACTTGATTACATTTTTTATGGAGATAACAGTCATGAACTGAACATAACAACTAAATTTAAACAATACTTCCTAGTCTACACCATTACTATATTCCTATAATCCTGGAGCAAGGAAAATAAATTCTATCAAAGACGGACAAGAATTCTAAGTTTCTAACCACATGGTCATTTAATATCCGATAAAGTATATATAAACCATCAAATGTGCAAAACAATTTACTGATGTGACTTTATCGCTGTGGAACATGCACAAGAATCTACTATTCAGTTTCCTATGTTATTTGCCTAATATCAAGCAGGTCATTAAATTACGAGTCCAGTGCAATAAAACACCAAGGAACTTTACCCAAAAAATAGATGTGAACCCCTGAACATTTTTATTTTTTGGTAAATAACCCCTTAAATAATATCATGATTTTTTCACATAGCACCCTTGCATCAACATGGCATCTGAAAACTAACAGTTACACTATCGTGCGCATCTCAAATGAGACTTATAATTTATGCTATGACAAAAATACCCTTTTATGTGACAAAATTGCCCTAGATTCATTCTCAAAATCAACCTTCCATTTTTCATTTCTTCTTGTTTGTTTCTTCTAGGAAAAGCTGGTATATATAACCTAAAAAAAACTATATATACATATATACACACAAAATGGAGGGTAATATAAAAATCAATATTTAAGCAGTTTAATGTGAAGATATACCACGTTGACTATTCAAACTTTCTGTGTATATCCATATATATAAATATATATGGGTAAAGAGGGCACTGAAATCCTGTTCTCATCTGAATCAATAAGTGCATCAAATTATTCATAGATTTTAAAGAGAAATGAACAAGTTGAAGAACCAAGGATGCCTACCTAAAAAATAAAAATAAAAAAGTTGAAGAACACCGATGCCCAGCTCATCCATGGCTCGTCATACAGCATACACGCCCTTAATTGGTTTAAAACTTAACCAAAGTTCTCAAACTTTGATTGGTAAAAGAAAAAAGAAAACTAAGTGGAAGAAATGAGAAGTTCCACGAAAGAAGACTGCAAAATGAGAAGACTGGTGCCTTCAACCCGTGAACCACCCCTAACCCATTTTTAAGCTCACTACCAACCACCCCTTTCCCTCTCTCTCCTCTTCGTCTCTACTTATCCAACATAATTGGATAAATATATGTGTGTGCGCGCGCGCACATGTATATATATTAGAGTTCTCTAATTAAAGATGGAATGAGAAACAGTAAGTGGAATGGATTGGCTGTAGGCCACCAATTGGCTCTTCGAGTTCCATATTTCTGCCTTCTTTGAGCTTTGGGTGAGAGTGAGAGCCACTTGGATTAGAGCAAGAGAACGTGTGGCTAAGAGGGAGGTGTGGGTAAGATTCTCATAATGGGTTTGGGTAAAAGGACGCTGTCTAATTTAAGGGCATTTATGTCATTTTCATTTCATATTTTACATTTTTTTTCCTTTTCAAATGGCAACATAGTTATTTTACTTTATTATTAATGATGAGTTAACAATTAGCCTTACTTGCAACATTTTTATAGACTGGGGGAATTACTTGCAACAACCAATTGGCAGTTTGGGCTCCGAATTTCTGCTTTCTTCGAGCTTTGGGTGAGACTGAGAGCGCCTTGGAGGCTTGAATGAGAGCGATAGAATGTGTGGCTAAAAGAGAGGTGTGGGTGAGATTCTCATAATGGGTTTGGAGTGGGTAAAACGACGCAGTCTATTTTAAGGGCATTTCTCTCATTTTCGTTTCACATTTTACATATATATATATATATATATTCAAATGGCAACATAGTTATTTTACTTTACTATTATGACGAGTTAACAATAAGCCTTACTTGCAACATTTTTACTGTCTAGGGGAGTTACTTCCAACAACAGGGGTGTTCTGCAACTTGTGCAAAATTTAAGTGTTACTAACTTTAATCCTAAAATTAATCATAATTTTGAAAAACGAGCAACAAAACTGAAAACAATAAAGAATAGTACAAGCAGTTTACACGAGAGACAGGACAGCAATAAAGGGAGATTGGTTCTTTTACATGAATGACTTATTTTTCTTCACTAAATAAAGTAACAAATTTTATTTCTCCTCCAAAATGATGCATGCGCAATTCCTTCCACTTCTAACTTGGGTGGGGCCTCAAACAAACATGAAAGATTACGGAAGAAAAAAACGAGAAGGAAAAAACTAAAAGAGATTTTAGGAATTTAGAAAATCAACCATTGACCTTTGCATCAGGACAAAAAAAAGGCCTTTGACCTTTGCAGCATCAAAGAGACATACACAGGACTCAAATGTAGAAGGGAACATGCAAATCATTTTTTGCTTGCTAGCAATAAACTGAAACCCTTAAACCCACTCCTCCAAATTCAATTTCATGCCAACAAATTTTCCATCATGCTCCAACAAAATTGGCATAAGATCAATGTAGAAATTTGAAGAGCTTAGTTTCAGAAATATGCTGATACCATCACGAAAACACCATACAATGTATGGTATCATTGAGATGGATATTCAATGGAATAAATGTCAATCATATTGGTGGTCCACGTCTTTTTTGGTCAAGTAACAAGCAAAACAGTCCTGTATTACGTGTTTGTTGACACTCAAAAGTGGCAGCCACCTGCATCGACGTGGACCAATCAAAGGGCCTGAATGGACCAAAATACAGACCAATAAGAATTCGCCACTTACACGCTGATATGGATGAATAAGAACGAAACGCTTGGACAATTATTGCAAGGGTTAATGAGCTGACACTTGGCGACTGCTCTCAAGGGATATGGGCTGTGAGGTGGATCCATAGTTGCTAAAATATTGGAATGTGGTTACTAGAAATATGGGCTGACTGTTGAATAATCTGTTAGTGTGTTAGACAAGTATTGAAGGATTTAAATATTTAAAAGTTACACCCTCTCTAACAACTTAAGCTATTGGAGTAGATGGTTGTTAACATGGTATCAAAGCGTCGGTTGAAGTTGGAGACCTAATATAAGCTTCATCTTCTTTTTCTTTTTCTTTTTAGTTTCTTTCTTTTTGTTTTGTATAGTCGTCTTCTCAACTCTCTCTCTCTTTCTCTGTCATTTGGACAGAGACGACCTAAAACCCTAGGTCTAGAAAAAAAAAAAAGGGGGGGGGGAAGGTATCTTTCTACTTGTTTTCATGTTCAAATTTTTTTAGTTCTCTCGCTTGAAAGTTTGAAACTGGTACTCGGATTGCTGTGTTACCTGGACTCGCTAGAACCGGCAAGGGTGTCCGTGTTGACACGACACGGACACGAACTCGAGATATGCATCGGACCTTGCACGGTCAAGATTAGACACGACCGTTGAAGAAAACTCTTGTTTCGGGTGGTCGGAAATTGTTAGTGCCTTACTGGTTTCAATGTCGATTTAGGAAGGAGGTTTCTTTGGTCTGTTGGAGAAGACGACTGTTATTGACGCGTTATTTTTGCATAGGAATCCACCCCATTTGGAGCGTGTCGTTCACGCTCTTATAACACACTATTAGTTTTACTCTTTTCCATTTCCATGCGTGCACGCAACCTATTAAGTTTTCGAATGCCAGCCGTCATTAGAAAACGGTAGTAGTGTGTATATATATAATCTTAGTCTCTCTATATATATATAGAATCATACATATTGTGGTTAGATGGTTACCAGTTATAACCCACTAACCAATACCTAAGATATTTTTTAAGTTTCTATTTTTATTTTTATTAAAATAATCGTAATTTTTATTTTTAATATATATTAATTATATATTGTGGTTAGTGGGTTGGCAACTGTAAGCCACTAGACTCTAAGGCATAGGTAGTTATCATAACATGTATAACTGAGCTGAGGTGCACGATTTTTTTTTATTTATATAGTTACTCGTACACGACTCTACCTTTCAATCTTTCACTTTTACAAATATTGGTGTTGAATTATATCATACTAATGTACTGTCATGTATCATGCATTCACGTATGCCTAATTGCCTATATATTTCTTTAATACTCTAATATACTATTTTGTATGTTGTGTCCAAGTATCCAGGTCCGAGTTTTGGACACTTTTATTCCGTGTCCCCGTGTCCTATAATTTAATAGATAGATGGATCCGACTTCTAGACACGTACCCGTGTCCGACACCCGTACCTGAGTCTGTTGGAGTTACTACACAATCAACCGGATTCTTTGATACCAGTTGTTGTGGCGGAAACGCAAAATAAACAACGTTGTTCAAGAAATAATCAGGGAATCACGAAGAATTAAAAAAATCACACACAAGAACACAAGATATACATGGTTCACCCAAATCTTAGGGCTACATCCATGGAGTGCACCGAATAAATTCACTATGAAAAAGATGAAAAATTACAATGGAGAATTTTCTCTCAATCTCTCTCAATTGTTCTCTCTTGTGTTGGCACAAATTAATCAATCATATAACGCATATGATGATCCTCTCTTTTTTCTTCTCACTTTTCTTCACACCCTAAAATCTGATTAGAGTTGATATATATAGCCCCAAACAATTTGTCCTACATGAAATTGCCTTTTGTAGAATCCAAAACCAATAAAGAAGTTAAAACAGATCAGGAAACTGAAGTTTCTATAAACAGTCTTGAACCAGTAGAGGAAGTGGCTACCGATTCAGGATGACCAGAGAAGATTCCTTCGTGAATTGGCTACTGGTTCAGGAGTTGGCTACCGGTTCCCAATGGACAAAAGCTAATCTTCAAAAGTTGAAGTTGTTCCTTGATTGGCTACCAGTTCAAGTTGAATCTGTTCCTTGATTGGCTACCAGTTCAAGTTGAATAGAATGTAAACTTCCTAAAAATCTTTCACATAATCAACACGTGATCAGACTCCACAAAACCACAACAGAGTCCGGGTAACATGGTCGGATTATCTCATCTCGAATACCATGGGTGACAAATCGGAAAACAAGAACTCTCTCTTTTTCGATTCTCTTGCTTGAAACTTGTACTCGGATAGATAACCCAATAATGATCCGAATCCGATAACCCGTTACCTTAAGACATCGGATATTGATTTAAGGTAATCCGATCTGATTAAAATTATATATATTATTAATCTACAATAGACTATATACGTATGTTATATATATATATTAGTTATTTACCATTAAATTTATATAAATTAATTATCTACCATTACATTCATAACAAAAAAGAAAAAGAAAATACCTATATATAAAAGAAAATAGAATGAGTAAAAGTGAAAAACTGAAAGGTAAAGTCGTGTACTGCTATATATATATATATATATATATATATTAAAAAATAATAATAATAATAATAAAAAAATTAAAAAAGTAACTATATAAAAAAAGTCATGGCAGTATTACCTCAGTTCAACTATATATGTTATGCCTTAGAGTCTAGTGGGTTACAGCTGGTAACCCACTAACCACAATTATATAAGTAATATATATTAAAAATAAAAATTACAAATATTTTAATAAAAATAAAAATAGAAACTTAAAAAATATCTTAGGTATTAGTTAGTGGGGGCAACCCGCTAACCACAATATGTATGAATGTATGATTCTATATACAAAGAGAAACTATAATCATATATATACACACTACCACTGTTTCCAATGACGGCTGGCATTTGAAAAGTTAATAGGTAGCGTGTAGACGTGGAAGTGAAAAAGAGTAAAACTTATAATGTGTTATAAGAGCGTGAACAACACACTCCAAATGGGGTGAATTCCTATACAAAAATAACGCGTCAATAACAATAGTCTTCTCCAATAGACCAAAGAAACCTCCTTCCTAAATCGACGGTGAAACCAGTAAGGTACTCACAATTTCCGACCACCCGAAACAAAAATTTTCTTCAACGGCCGTGTCTAATCTTGACTGTGCAAGGTCCGACGCATATCCCGAGTCCGTGTCCGTGTCGTTTCGACACGGACACGCTCGCCGATTCTGGCGAGTCCAGGTAACACAACTCCCTCTCACAATCATTTGCCCCTTCTCGCTCCCAACACCACGACCACCTCTCTCTCTACTACACCACATCCCCCTTCTCCACCCCCTCTACCTCCCCCCCCCCCCCCCCTTCTTTCTCTCTCTAAAATGTTTCTCCCTCTAAAGCCGCTAATATACTTGTCTCTATCTTCTCCCTATCGAACACTATCATCCCTCCACCACCAAAAACCACCCGTTCACTACCTCTTTGCACATTGCTTCCCACTGAAAATATAATCTGTATATATACATAGCATAACCATTTTAACCCCAAAACCACCATAATCTCTTTGTTCTATCTTCAATTCTTCTCTTCTCCACCTCTTTGTTATCTTCCCCCTCCCTCTAAAACCTCCATTCGAACTTCTTTTGTTCTCTCTCTTTCCCCTTTCATAAGAGCACCACCAAACTCAAATCTTCTCCCTATCAAACACTATCATCCCTCCACCACCAAAAACCACCCGTTCACTACCTCTTTGTACATTGCTTCCCACTGAAAATATAATCTGTATATATACATAGCATAACCATTTTAACCCCAAAACCACCATAATCTCTTTGTTCTATCTTCAATTCTTCTCTTCTTCACCTCTTTGTTATCTTCCCCCTCCCTCTAAAACCTCCATTCTAACTTCTTTTTGTTCTCTCTCTTTCCCCTTTCATAAGAGCACCACCAAACTCGAATGAAACCACCAATTGCAGAACCAACAGTACTTTTGCAATCTTACTCCCCGAATATCATTGTCTCGCCATCGATGAGCTCGTAAAACTACTCGCATGGTACCCCACCACTGATTCAACAACAAATACAAATTTCAAGCAAGACTTAACCATTGAGTTAATCTTTGTTCCAATTGCAACGGTAAAGTAGAATAGAGTTCAATGGTGACCCTAGGTGTTGCTTTTCTGATCTTCTCCTTTGTCGATTGAGAGATCTCCAATCTAGGCTTGTGTTGCATACAAGAAAGTTAGGGCTCGTTTGGCAACTGCTTTCGTTTTGCGTTCTACGTTTCTATTTTCATCCGAAAGAAAAACAACGTTTTTTGTTGTGGAATATGTTCATTTGTGATTGGAAGCATATTTGGTAACGGAAAATTTGTTGTAAGATTTTGGGAAGCAAAAACATGAAAACATGTTTGATAAAAATGTGTTGCATGATTGAGTAACAAAATGGTTAGTTAAAAAGGGCCTTGTTTTTGCTACAGTGCAAAAATATTAGGCGTTTCCTATTTCGGACTCTTTTCGGCAACAAATGCAGCGCTATTCAAATGACAGCAACCGGTTAACAAACGTGTTCCGCTGTTTTGCTTCGCTACAGTACACCACCCGCAACACAAAACACGCAACAAAAAGGTTGCCTCCTTAACTTATCTTCAACCACCCTGCCTTGGATTTTGAATTGAAACACTAAAAACAAATCATTACACTCATAAATCCACCTTCACAAAACTAAAAACAACCGACAAGCCCAACTGATTAACCATTTTGAAATTTTTGCCAGTGATGGCATTGAAGGATTTGAAAGGGAAGTCTGAATAGGCGATGGCAGTTGCTAGAGATATGTCTATCTTTAAATTGCTGGAACCAGCTGAAATCCCTCTCACTGATCCGCAATTTTCACATAGACATCTATGTTTATGTATAATTCATTTATATATATATGTATATAATCAATGTGTCTACATGGGGTTATTAAGAAGATGAGAAAAAAAAAAAGGACATTTTTGGAATTTAAGAATTATTCTTTAACGGTCAACTAACAGCAGTGGAAGTTAAAGTTATCCCAAACAAACCTCGAGGGAGGTTGAACTTTAAACTGATGGTAATTAAGCTATACCTCAATGGAGGTTATAGTAATTTACCCTTTAAAAAGACAAGGAAAGGATCTGGTGCATAGATAATTTAATTTCCATGACTGAACATTCATAAATATGAATGAATACAGACCAAATAAAGCATGCAAAAAAACTTTGAGCGCTACCGATGAGAACATTAGCAAATTAGAAACTCACCTTCCACTAAGCTGAGGCGGTACTAGCAGACCACCACCTGTCTCGGGAATACTCCTCGAGTGGGGCAAATTCCCTCTTGGAACTTTACTACGTGGAAGTGCAGAAGCCAATCCATTTGTGTCTCTCTTACGTGATGCACTTTCAGCCATTGCAGCTGCAACTCGAGAAGAGTGGTCCCAACCACTCACCAGATGAGATGAAATAGCAGGAGAATTTAAGAGGAGTGAAGGATCAGGAAGCATCACTGCAGGTGGCTCTGATGGATGAGAATAACTTCCTAGTTGTTGATTTGAGGATGGCCCTGGTCTCCTGCACATCAAAAGCATATTAAAATTTTAATGAAAAGAAAGGAGCATTACATATCATGTCAAAAAAAATTTATCAAAAGAAAAGCCACATCAGAGGAGAACAAATGCCTATTTAAGGTATATCATTACAAATAAATTAACATAAATTATTGGTTCTCTACCAGGTAATCATATTTCGGTAAATGTGCTATTCAAGGAGTTGAACCTGCTTAGATCACATCAATACAAATAGAAGTTGATAGATGGGCAACATGAAATGCACGTTGTGATAAAATCATAAAATATCTTACATATACATCCAGATAAAGCAGTTACAATAAGACCCACAAAAACACAAGGTGTCATCGTGCCCCAGCCCGGCAATACCCTTTCTACGATTGAGGCTTTGAATACTAATTGTTATCCCATTAATTTTGGACCTTAATTGTTACAAAGACCCAATTAATATCATCATCATCCTCATCCTTGCCTTAATTCCATATGAAAGGAATTGGCCACATGAATTCTCTCTCTCCAATCTTTTCTATTACATGGCAATTCACCTACTATATTTAACTTTTTAAAATCATTTTTAATAACCTCATTCCATATTATTTTTGGCCGCCATCTCCATCTCTTACCTTATATTACACTAGTCTTCCTCGTTTGACCGGCACATCACTAGGTCTCCGATGTATAAGTCTACTATCTCGAATTTTCTCCCCAATGGGTGCTACACCAAATTTTCCTCTCACACGTTTATTAGTGACCCTATCTCTTCTAGTCACTCCACTCATCCAGCTTAACATTCTCATTTCTGCTACATGAAGGCATTGTTCTTGTTTCTTTTTTAGGCCCAACACTGCGCTCCATACAACATAGTTGTATCTTATAAGGGTCCAAAAGAATTTTCCTTTCCCGCAACAATTAGTATTTGGAGTATCTCTAACTTCTAGGTACTCCATCTCCAGACTTGACCATTAAAATTCATCTCTTTTGCACTAAGCTAGAATAAAAGTGTAACTAAAATTCTACAGAAACTAGAAACATTTGACATCAGAAAAAAAAAAAAAAAATATATATATATATATATATATAGTTATGTGAGGTAAACCATCCATTTTCTAGTTACTATAGATTTTACAATTTCAATTTTTTGAGCTGGAAGTTTACTAACACAATGGACCTAACTTCCGTGAATTCAGGTGAATAACCTACTTTAAATCTGTTTATAAGTCTTACTTTTCTGGAAGCTAAATTCAATAGGCTTCCTGACAGTATATGGATCGCACTCTTTTAATATTGTTAGGCCCCTCAAATTAATTTCTACATTCAAGTAGTCTGTTGCAGAAACCAGAACACACTGGCCATATGGGGAAATTGCATAAATCATAAAAGCAGAAAACACGTGTAAATTTTATAACATTTTCCAGGAATATGATCCTATGAGTAGCCAAATAGTTCCAACTTGTATCACCTCAAAAGCATGTTTCGAAAAAATTTAATATAAAATTTTGACATAAACTACTCGAGTAAAACCAAACAGAATCCAACAACAAAAATTTAATTAATAATCATAGAATCCAAAACGAAGATAAGTTCCATAATTACAAGTTTCAAAAATCACTAAACCAGGTTCCTAAACATATTTAACTACCATCTAAGCTATTCTATGAATAAAGCTAAGATTAGATTTTCTACATCTAATTTCCAACCTAATGCTACCTAACTTACTATGTTTGCATCAAGAACATCTTCTTTTGTTTATTCTTTAGGAGCATCTGAAAAATAGTAGGAATAAGAGAGGGGGAGGGGGGGAACCTGTAGAAAAATAATCCTTTTGTCATATTAAACAGACTTTTTCTTTTTATATATAAGATTGTATAAAAGGCGTTCAAAAGGGGAACAGTGTGGGAGGTACGTTTCTCAAGGCTGTTTCAGGATTGGGAGATGGAGGATACAATAGGATTTTTGGAGTTGTTGTATCGCCAGGAGATAGCGGAGGAGACTTCTGATTTTTGTGTTCGGATTCCATCTTCACATGGGCGCTTTGATGTTCAGTCTTTTTATAGTTGTCTTGTGGATGCTCCTGGACCATCCTTTCCATGGAGGGCCGTTTGGCGAACAAAGGCACCTCTCAAAGTTGCATTTTTTGCATGAACATCCGTTTTGGGAAGGATCTTGACCCAAGACAATCTTCAGAGAAGAAGACAGATTGTGGTGAATTGGTGCTTTATGTGCAAAGCTGACGAGGAAACGGTTGATCATCTTCTTTTACATTGCCCAGTGGCCCGAGATTGTTGGTTTTTGTTTTTGGTTTGTTTGGGATTCAATGGGTTATGAAACAGTCTACCAGAGGCTTGATTGAGGCTTGTAGAGGTTGTATAGTGGGGGCCCAAGCTCGTTACTGTTGGAGGGTTATTCATTTGTGCATCTGGTGGTGTCTATGGCTTGAAAGAAATAGGAGATCTTTTGAAGAAAAGGTCAATCCTATTGGGTCGTTGAAGTTCTCCATTCTTAGCACTCCTTTTTGATGGGTTCTAGGGAGAAATTATAAATCCTTGGATGAGCTTGTTGAGTTTTTAGATTTGTTGAAGGTTTAGAGTACCTATTTGGCCTTCTGTTTTTTCTGAGGGATGTGTGTACCCCTTTTGAATGCTTTTAAATAATTCTTACTTATCAAAAAAAAAATTTGTTACACAAGGCCAAATAAGGCATCTAAACCCTCAATGAGTCCAAAAAATCTATAAGCTCCTCCAAGGATTTACAATTTCTCCCTAAAACCCAACAAATATTCATAAGAATGTGGATTCAAATTCCTCAAAAAAGTATTCTAATCTCCTTCAACCTATTATATTCATGTTAAATTCAACAAGACAAAATAGGAGGGGAAAATTCAAAGAGAATAAAAACCCAACCAAGCAAATAGAGGAAATAGAATAAAATAGTAAGGGGCATGGAAAAGTACAGTTGTGATAATATTCTGAACTACATCACATTGTTGCTGGCAAAGTATAGACAGAACTCAAAGGACTTGCCAAACTCAACCAATACTTCCTATCTGTGGGCCAAGAGAATGTGGATTCCTACTTATAAAAAAAAATAATAATAAAAATAAAAAAGAGAATGTGGATTCCTATTCTAATGTATCACACCATATGTTCCATCTCCAGAAAAAATAAGAATAATAATAAATAAAATAAAAATAAAGACCTTAGATGATTCTTGTATACCGGCCATCACGTGTAACTATGTCCCATCTCTGTTTTTTTTTAAAAGTAATAATGAATTAAAAAAAGGCGTTCAAAACTATGTCCCATCTCTCAACTGTGGAATTATTAGCTGACTACTTATAAGCATGAACAAATGTTACAGAAATGTCAAAACAAAATAATAATAGAAGTCAAATTCCAATGAAATAAACCAAAAAGTGTTTGCTTGAGCAGTATGTCATCCACCTTCTAAAGATATGGGCGAGTGTGAGCCTTACCCATCAAAAATAGAAAGATAAAAATAAATCTAGTGAACTTATGCATCTACTGAGTATCAACTAAAAAAAATTACTTCTAAATTTCCATATTCCGCCTCCTAAATTTTTTTATTCATCACAAAAGACCACCTCAATTTAACGTAAATGGAACCAAAAACCATTTAAACAAATAAGAATAATAATAACAAAGCCTTCTGAAGGAAACATGTGACCACTCAACAAGAACTGTAACAGAGAAAACTAGTATTCAGGTCAAGCAAACGAATAAGTTACCAGATTAGCATTTTTTATTTCCTAATAAAACCATCAAGGAGAAATAATTTTGTCTACAAGATCCACATCTAAATATATTCAGCAGAAGTCTTTTGGATTAGAGATTTCTTAAGCCGAATTTAAGATATAAAATAACAAAACAGAAACAAAATTCATGCAAAACAGTGGATAGAAAGTTGATGATCACAGACACCGTGCCAAAATAAGTGACGATAAGCAAACATACCAACAATAACAGTAATAAATAAATAAACAAGTGGACACTCGGGATACATATCCTCTACAATAGTTAGCCCTTCCTGCAGTAGGTTGTTTTGCACATGGATTCAATAAACATTTACATAAAAGAAAAGTAAGCTTTGCAAAGGGATTCAGTAAACATTTACATATAACAAAAGTAACTCTTTCAACATAGTACAAGGTAAAGAAGCAAATGTATAACGAATATGAGTCCAAACATCACCACCTAAAATTTCCGAAAAAATTGACATCACCTGTGCAATGGATGCCAAACAATTGAACTAGTCTCAGCTGGGTTAATGAATTCTGTTCTTTCTAGCCAACCATACAAATTCATAATTTGTTTTCTAGCATTCTCTTTCAAACAAACCGAGCATAAAATTAGAAACCCTAATTTCAGTTTTGAAATGAAAATTGAATTGCATAAAATAAAAAATAAATTAAATTAAGATTTTAAACAAGAAGAGAATTACTGGGCTTGAGGAGGAGGTTGAAGCGGTGGTGGATCGTCCTTTGGAACTTCTGGTTCGTTATTGGGAGCTTGTGAACTTTCTCTCTTCTCTTCTCTAGCCTCTGTTTCCTCTTCGTCTGATGAAGAAGCGTAGTCCACCAGCGACATCTCTATATTTCTCACTCTAAAAACCCTCAGATACTACAAGTACTAATGTTTCTCTTTCTGCACCCACGAGCGAAAGAATAGTCGCGGCTTTTTCTCTCTTAAATCTACAAAAGGGGTGCATGATGATTTTGAATTTAAAATATTACACCAGAAAAATTATACTCCGTACTTTTTTTCTTGTTTTTTTTTTTTTGGCACAAACCTATATGGACTTGATCTTTCACCGTCCATTTTGAATGATAGGATAAATATCATCACTACGCCATAAGATGTTTAGTCAACAGAAAATTATAAAACTCACTAACTTTACATATATATATATATATATATGTTGAGGGTGAAATTCATGCGGTTCGCTACGATACCATTTTTCTACAAAGAAGAGAGTAAAAGATCGATTAATCTTGATGACACCGGTTTGGTGCTTGCCAAGAGCTCTCCGACGATCAAGTCAGTCACTAGAGATCTAAAAGAAAGGCTGGATTTAATAATAATTTTTTTGTCGTACCTTTATTGACTGATAGGATCTCATTCTTATAGTCGCTCTCCCTTAGTTCATTTGCGGGATCAGAGGATATCCACTTGTGTGAGATTAGAGGAGATCCGCTTATGCGAGATCAAAGGAGATCAGTTTGTTGCCAGATTTGTCAGGATATGATTTAACCCTTTTGACTTCCTCAAATTGTGCCAAGGTTATCCTTACCCTGTTGTACCATGTCATCTTTCATTATCCTTGATAATGAAATATTATCATTCTTATCCGATAAAAATATCATCGTTCTAAAGTCGAAGAGGTCTGGCAACTGGTCAACACTTAGTTGTCTCTATCGTTAGGTCAAGATAGGTTAGGTTTATTTTTCCCTATCAGTTGCCCCCCATTTCCAAGCTTGCTCGTCTAGCTTTGGGAATGTGAAACTTTTTTTTTTTTTTTTTGCCCTGAGCACTGTTCCCTGGAACAGTGCTCACGGGTACTGTTTACTTGAATAGTAAACTTTTTTTTTTTTTTGCCTTGGGCACTGCTCGGGAACAGTGCCCGTGGGTACTGTTCACTTGAATAGTAAACTTTTTTTTTTTTTTTTGGTACCGTTGGGTAATGTTCCCGTGGGTACTCTGCCGTTGGGTAATGTTCCATAGGGTAATCTTCTCTTGGGTACTCCTCTCTTGGATAATGTTCCCTTAGGTAATCCTCTCTTGGTGGAATTAATACAGATACCAAATCAAGGTTCTGTTTTGGAAGGGTATGAATTCAAATCCTTGGTCAATGACTCTTAGTGATGTAAAACTGGATTTTTCTTTTGAAAATCCAATATACTAGTTGTAAACTTCATGGGTTTCAGTCAGCCCATCCCTTTGGCAAGGGAATAAATTTTACAAGCTTCACTCAGCTCGTCACTCATTTAATAAGGGAACGAACTTCACTCAGCTCGTCCCTTTAGTAAGAGAATTAAATTTTACTCAGCTCGTCCCTTTAGTAAGGAATTAGGTTTTACGAGCTTCACTCAGCTCGTCCCTTTAGTAAGGGAATTAGATTTTACGAGCTTCACTCAGCTCGTCCCTTTAGTAAGGGAATTAAATTTTTGTCAAGCGTCGGGAATGGCAAATCCTACTGAGCTAAGCATGCTTGATGATTACTTTCTTGCCCCTTTTTAATAAGGGAAGTAGATTTACTCGAGCGTTATGAGCTCACCCTTTAATAAGGGAGTAATTAACCCCTCATCTCTTTACCGAGGGAGAAGATGAAGTTGACCCTTCGTTCCTTTATGAGGGAAAGAGGTGTAGTCTGAATGAGGGTGACCCCTTTAATACGAGAGGTAGTCGTCTCGTCTCTCTAATAAATGAAAGAAGCTTTAATTATCTCACCCTTCTGTGTAGAATGAGTAGTCGGCTTCTTGTCCCTTTAATGAGGGAAGAATGTGTTATTGGCCTTTAGTCTCTTTAATGAGAAAACCTTTAATAAGGTGTAGTCGGTCTCTCGTCCCATTAATAAGATAAATAGATTACTATGAGCATAATATTACCACATAGGTAGGTAACTGAAAATGTAATATTTTATTGCGTAAAAATTGAGGGTCATCCATCTCATTGGTGATGGTGACTTTATTGGAAAACAAAATAACACGTGAGGAAGCTATCCTCCATTTAAAATGATGAACTGAGATGTCCCCAGTCTTTATTTTGAATGACTTGATAAAGCTAATTCCAGCTGTGAGACAATTGTTAGTCGATATACTTATCTGAGTCCTCCTCACGATATGTCCTATCGCTTTGGCTGAAGAATGATCTCTTATAGCTGGTATCATTTTCATCCCTGGTAAGAGGGGCTGGCGTCTTCAGCGTTCATGTGTTTCTGCGCTCTAATCAACAACTTTGCCATGCTGCTGGGAGGTCCTTTAGATAAGGCGAACAAGAATCTGGAGGTTTGGAGTCCTCCTATGAAAGTGGTCAAAGCCACCTTGTCGTCCACCTATTCTACTTGCAACATCTCTGCGTTGAATCGAGTGATGTATTCCCGGATCAACTCTCCCTTCTGTTGCTTCATAGTAAGTAGGTAGGTGGTCGGCCTCCTATGCCTCTGACCTACAATGAAGTGGCTCACAAATTGCTTACTTAGTTCTTCGAAGGTGTTGATGGTTCCTGGCTTCAGCTTGTTGAACCAAACTCTTGCTGATCCCTTGAGTGTAGTAGGAATAACTCGGCACATGATTTCATCTGGCATGACGTGTAAATGCATAAGAGCTTGAAAGGTCTCCAGGTGATCGAGAGGATCTTTGGTCCCATCGAAGCTTTCGAACGAGGGCATCCTGAACTTGTTAGGCAGGGGGCATTTCATAACGGCGGGGCTGAATGGCAAGTTGGTCCTCTGCACCAGGTTATCTATGGCGGCAGGACCTTTCCCTTTTATAGCTTGCATTACATCTTCCATTTTTGCCTTGAGATCCTCGATCTGTAAGTCGAAATAGGTAACTTTCTCTATCTTTTCCTTAACACAGAATCTTGTGCCTATTTGAGACTGGGGATTCCACAGAGGCGGGGAAGGAGGTTCTCTGTGTCGGTTTCTGACTTGGCTTTGTTCTGCCTCAAACTTCTGAGAAGGATTGTTTTCTCGGTCCTCCTCATGTTGTCCCCCATCACTCAGATTGGCAGGATATCGGTCGGACAATTCTTGTTGAGGTGGTGGTCCCGTTGGGATAAAATGTTGCAAGATCTCTGCATTTTGTTGGATCAACTGGTCTATACCCTGATTCAAAGTTTGGACCTGTAGTTCTAACGCTGCAAGCCGTTCCTGGTCATTCGGGACGTCTGGGTGTTCACCCGACCTTTCTCTTTGACTGGATCCCTGCAACGATGTTTCTGTTCCAGTTATCATACCGGACCGTAAGTGCATATACCCAACCGAGTCATTGATTTAAGGGAATCGTCGTTCCCCACAGACGCCGCCAACTGTTGAGGGTGAAATCCACGCTGTCTGATACGACACCGTTTTCCTGCAAAAAAGAGAGTAAAAGATCGATGAATCTTGATGACACCGGTGTGGTGCCTACCAAGAGCTCTCTGACGATCAAGTCAATCACCGGAGATCTAAAAGAAAAGCAGGAATTTAATAATAATTTTTTGTCATACCTTTATTAACTGGTAGGATCTCATTCTTATAGTCGCTCTCTCTCAGTTCATTTGCAGGATTAGAGGATATCCGCTTGTGCGAGATCAGAGGAGATCCGTTTGCTACCAGATTTGTCGGGGATATGATTTAACTTTTTGACTTTCTCAAATTGTGCCAAGGTTATCTTTACCCTGTTGTACCACGTCATCTTTCAATCTCCTTGATAATGAAATATTATCATTCTTATCCGATAGAAATATCATTGTTCGAAAGTCGAAGAGATCTGGCGGCTGGTCAACACTTAGTTGCCTCTATTGTTAGGTCAAAGTAGGTTAAGTTTATTTTTCCCTATCAATATATATATTTGAAATTCAATTTTTAATTTTTTTTTATATATATTTAAATTTAAAATCAACATATGTCATCCTATTATTGTATTATTCTATTATTGTATTGTGTCACATTAACAGTGAGGAGAAAGTTTCTACTCACCAGGTAAGTAGTGTTCTGGTCACAATAAATAGTTTAAGATTAGGATGGCTTTGATCTTTGGTCCCTTTAAAAATGAGTTTGATCCAAACCTTTTTCTTATTTAAATACTACATTATATAAAGTTAGAAAAATTGTTAAATTTTTATAGTGTCACGTTTCTTATAGGAGAGAGTTTCTCCTTATAAGACATGAGGCAAGTATTATTTTTTTTTTTTATGATTAGTTCGGTAAGAAGAAAGGAAGAGGTGTGGAAAAAAAATAGAAGAAATGAAAAAACTTCTGGTAGAGATGATACTAGGAAAGAAATGATAATAGGAAGGATATGTTATCCTTCATTCTTTACAAATTTTCATCTGTACAAAAATGATAGGAGGAAAGAAAAATTTTAAAAGATATGTATGGTTTGCGACGATTTTTTTTAAAAGATATGTATGGTTTACGACGTTAACTCTCTATCTCATCTTCTCTGCAATAAGATCGCTTGGTAACTCGATCTGTTTATTTTAGTAATTTATTATTATTAAATTTTTGTGAGTTAAGCAACTTATTATCAGGTCTTAAAGTCATTTTTTTTACCCTAAATAAAAGAATGTCTTTGTTCCACTTAATTATGATTTACAAGGGTAATTCTATTATTAAAATAATCCACGTTGTAAAAAAAAAAAAAAAAATTCTAGGTAGGCTAGGTTCGATTCTCAGAAGGCATAAAAACAACTAAGGTTAAAAGATATGTATCGTTTGCGTGTTATTGCACATACAATATTCAAAGTTTACAAACCATCCAAAAATTTATTTATTTATTTATTATTATTATTATAAATTACTAAAATAAACCGAGTTACCCAGCGTTCTTATTGTAGAGGAGAGAGAGAGAGAGTTCACATCGTTAAGGTAATCTATTTTAAAGTGGACCAGTTTCCTAACTTTTATTAAATTAGTTGAAGTGATTTAACATAAGCCGTAGATATGTCTTAAATGGCACATGTCATTATGTAGAAAATTCAACTTAGAGGGGTTTTAACTTAAAGGATCCAAGGCCCC